CCAGTTTTGATATTGTGCTATAATTATGTAAGATGTGACCAATGAGGGAAACTGGATGAAAGATTTACTGAATTTTTTAAAAAAGATTTTATTTTAGGGGCACCTAGGTGACTCAGTCCATTAAGTGTCTGCCTTTGGCTCAGGTCATGATCCCAGGGTTCTGGGTTGGAGCCCTTGGAGTAGGCCTTCTGATCAGTGGGCAGCCTGCTTCTTCATCTCCTGCTTGTGCTCTCTCTCTCTTTCTCTGTTATTATTTTTTAATTATTTACTTGAAAGTGATAGAGAGTGACAGAGAGCACAGATGGGGAGGAAAGGGAGAAGCAGGCTCCCCGATGCAGGGCTCAATCCCAGGACCCCAAGATCACAACCTGAGCTGGAGGGAGACTCTCGACTGAGCCACCCAGGTGCCCCCAGGAAAAGATTTTATTTTAGAGAGAGAGCACGAACGAGCAGGAGAAAGAGCAGAGCAGAGGGAGAGGGATAAGAAGACTCCACGCTGAGCACGTGGGGCTCGATCCCACAACCCTGAGATCATGACCTAAGCCTAAACAAGAGCTGGATGCTTAACCGATTGAGCGATCCAGGTGCCCCAGATTTACTGAATTTTAATAACCACATACTGAAACCATAATATGCTTAGGACTTAACCACACCTGCCTCTAGAGGGGAGTCTTAAATTTGGTTAAGACGTTTTGAATACAAAGAGACAACTATATGTATCTTAGATCGTTCTAAGTTCAAGACTCAATAATATATTCCTAGGCAGGATGAAGAAGAGAGTGACCACATTATAGTCCTGTGAGAAAACTGAATTCAACCAAATGATTTTTTGGAAAGCTCAAGTCAAGGAAATCCAATACAGAATACAAAAAAATGCACCTTGATTTATTCAGCAACCACTTTCCAAGTACCTACTAAATATCATTCAGTGTTAGAATTGAAGATAGAGGGGCGCCTGGGTGGCTCAGTGGATTAAGCCGCTGCCTTTGGCTCAGGTCATGATCTCGGGGTTCTGGGATCGAGCCCCGCATCAGGCTCTCTGCTCAGCAGGGAGCCTGCTTCCCCCTGACTCTCTGCCTACTTGTGATCTCTCTCTCTCTCTGTCAAATAAATAAATTTTTTAAAAAATCTAAAAAAAAAAAAAGAATTGAAGATAGAAAGATGAGTAAACTTAATAATACTTGTTCTTTTATACTAGAATGTAAGCTCCATGAGAACATAGGTTTTTTATCTGTTTTATTCATGTCTGTAATGTTTAGGCCAGTATCTGGCATATAATAGGTGCTAAATAAAAATTGCTGAATGAATGGATTCTCCTAAAAAGCCTTGAGTCTGATAAGCCAGGATTGGAAATAGGGACAAGAGCATGTGATAGATGCTATCATAGATTTGCTGCCTTTTTCTCCTTCCTTTTCAGTCTTAAGTGGTATCTCTTTATGAGTATTCTGATAGTACTGGGTTCAGTGTGTGCACAGTTAAACTTTAGCAGTCACCACTTCAGGGCTGGCTTCTGGACCCCATTTCCCATCTGGTTCTGTCAGAATCTTACCTTCAAGCAGGGGTAGTATTCCAGTGAGTTACTTGTGATACCTTTAAGAGTTAGGTTTGTTCCAGTCCTTATAGCACCGTTCTTTTACACAAGTTATTGCTATTCAGTTGACCCTTGGACAGCATGGGGCAAATAGGTGCCTGCTTCCCCCCTCCCTACACAGTTGAAAATCCTGTAACTTTTGACTCCCCTGAAACTTAATTATTAATAATAGCCTACTGTTGACCAGAACCCTTACCTATAACATAAACAGTCGATAAACTCATATTTTATATGTATTATATCCTGCATTCTTATCATAAAGTAGCCTGGGGGAAAGAAAAATTTAAAATCATAAGAGAAAGTACATTTACAGTAATGTATGGCTATTTATTTTTTTAAAAAAATCCTCCAGGAGGGGCTGGGACAGGGGGTGGTGGCAGCAGGCCTGGCCCCAGGGGGATGATGTTCTGCAGCTGGTGGTCTCTGCTCAGCAGTGGTAGCAGCTGGGCGGCCTGGAGGTTCAGTACAGTTGACCCACCTGCCTGGATGTATACCGCCGGCTATAACCATCAGCAGCTTCAGAGACAGGTCAGCGCTAGAGGGACTCAGGGCAGCACCGAATAGCCCAGAGCCCGGCACACAGAGGACCCTCTGGGCATGTTCTTCCTCTTCAGCCCAGGCTCCTGTCTGTCAGCTGTGGGCGCTCAAACCGACCACCCTGTTGCCATATGGGCCACCTGTAGCTCTGTCTGGTACTGAGGTTTCCCTGGGGCTGCTGACAGCTCCCTGCGGGCCTCCCCGCCCTGTGTTCTCAGAGGGTAGCAAGTGTGACTTCTGTACCAGTCACCTTTGATTCTCCTGTGGAAACTGGGGTGGGTAGTTGTAAATAAATACTGTGTGGTTTTTGCTGTCAACCCTTAAAAACCCACCTGTAAGTGGGCCTGTGCAACTCAAACCCGTGTTCCTCAGGGTCATCTGTATTTTAAAGTCGGATCTAGGCTATTGGGGAGGGTTAAATGAGGTGTGTAGAATGTTTGTAAGTTTAAGACTTGTTTAATAATAATAATAATAATAATAAAGACTTATTTAAGAATAGAAGGAGAACTCTGAAGTGTAGGACTCTCAGCATGGGCCTCCTCAGCTCAGGCCCGGCTGTGGTGAATCCTCATCTGGGCTAGAACTTTACTTGCTTGTAGTGGTCCTCTGTTGTTTAATCTTCTTGGGACAAACCGTCTTTCAGGATTGGCACAGAAGTCCAGGATTGCCTATGAAACTTATCCAGGGTAATTGGGCTGGAGAGGGTCTGGCGAGCCTTCATTAAGGAGTACAGAGCATTCACCTCTTTGCTGCAGAGTTGAGGGATTAAAAGAGGTGATCATTTCCATTATCTGAGGCTGTGTTACCTTACCTTCTTTTAGATTGTAAGAAGCACATTGGTTTACTTCACTGTAGGGGTTTATTATAAAAAATGTGTCTCAGTTGGCCTTCGTGAAAATTCGACATTGTCGCAGTCACAAGAGTACTTTCCCTGTTATATCCTCTTTGTTCTCCAGTTCACTTGTTACCAACTATAGTGGTTTCACCATTTTGATAAGTCAGCTAATCCTTTCCTCTACTCTTCTTCCACTCTGTTTCTCTGGTGACTATGAACTCTCTAATGCATTCTTAATTTCTCTTAGCATCATACTTCTTAAAGGAAAGTGGCAGATTGGGTTGTCTAGTTGTTTATTATTCAGTTGTGTGAAGCTCTCATGAGTTACCTCAAAGGCCCCTTAGATGGCCTCTGGGTTGGAAGGTGATTCCTGGTCATAGTCATTTGTAACTAGAGTTTCAGTGTCTCATCATCTAAATTATAGTGATCTCACTGGAAGAACTGTTTGTGATCATTTACTTAGAAGGAACCTGTGGGGCCTTGGTAGATACTTGAAGCATCATTTATTACTCTTTCTCAGTGGTCATTGGGAGCTTTCGGATTGAAGGAGAAGTATAAAGTGCCGCACATACATGGGATGTGTTTCTGGTTCCCAAAAGGAGTAGCCCAGGTTAATCAATACAAAATAAAATTATCTTTACTTGTCCTGGTTCACTAACCTTTTGTAGAAGTCAGTGTTCTAGAAATTGATAGCAACTCAGGTATATGTATTATATTTCTGATTTTCATCCCTGTTAGTAAATTTTTATGGCTTTTGCTGTAATTATTGAAGTCTTACTTAATAAGAAACAAAGGATCAAGATGTATACTGGGATTGTACACATGTCACTGAACCATTAAATAAGACTTAAAGAAGAGAAAGACTGGATTGTTGTGACATGCATCCCACCTAATATACAAGGAGTTAGCTACTCAAGAGTACACGTCTTTCTGCACGTTGTCCTTAGCTGGGATAGTAAGCTAAGATCCAGAGACCTTAATGAGGGTTTTGTATGAAGGCCCTCTTTGGGGAATGCATATTTTCCTAAAGGCCGGGTGGCTGAAGAATGAGATTTTGTGGGTGGTCATTGTACCTTCTATATCTTCTCCAAGAAAATAGGTAAGACATTAGAGACCATGATAAAGTGGTTTTAATGTTTGTTGAAACATGTGGAGAGTCAGATGCTAGTTTTGAAAGGGATTACTGTGCAGTTGGCATGTCTTGATTTTATCAGTAGCTTCATTCAATTTAGCTTAATGAAAATTGTTATTATTTTTCTCAATTTACCAAAAACTAGTGAAAAAAAAATTTTAAAGATTTTTATTTATTTATTTATTTTAGAGAGACAGTGCACATGAGCCAGTGCAGGGAGGTGCGGAGAGAGGGAGACAAGCAGACTCCTGCTGAGTCCGTGGGGCTCGATCCCAGGACCCTGAGATCATGACCTGAGCTGAAATAAGAGTCAGACATTTAACTGACTGAGCCACCCAGGTGCCCCTAGTGAAAACTTTGTAATGAATGGGAGTCACTGGGCTATATGGTTAATAGAGCGAGGTGGTCTCTTTGCTTGTTGATATCTATACCAGAGAATGTTGTGCCATCCTGAAGGGGAAGGTACCAGGCCATGAGTCTGGGCCATATCAAATCCACCAAGGATGCCATCGCTGGGTTGGAAGCTTGGAGGAGAGGAGAGAATCTGCAGGGTGCAGGAAAGACAAGGCCCAGGTGGGTCTGAATGAAAGACGTTGACAGGATTAAGAATGGCTCTGAGCAAGAAGGAAATTCTTAGAGCTTTAGCTCCAGGGTGGTTATGCTCTAGAACTAAGTTCTCAGAACTCTTCCACTCAGTTCATTCCAGTGAGGTTAGACTAAGAAAGAAAGTTGTCAACTTGCTTTATCTAAGAGACTTTGTTTTGGAATATAGTATTTTTTTTTATACTCTGTGGTTAGTGATTTTAGCCTACCTAGAAGGGGAAAATCTGAACTTGATTGGAGGGTTCTCTCCTATTTTAGAATTGCATCGTCTCTGATTTTACTTTATTTTTTTTTTCCTTCAGGTTGCTTGATCGGAGCCGTGAATCTCAAATCCAGCAACCGAACCCCAGTGGTACAGGAATTTGAAAGTAAGTACAAGGGAGACTACTAAGAGAATGGGCACCATCTAATGGACATTTGGTAGTCTTGCAGCCTACTCAGGACAAACACAACATATCCATACAGTGCCCAAGAGATGTTTGGGTGGGTGGCTCAGTAGCAGTGCATTTGATGTGCACATGTGTCAGGCCTTTTCAGCAGGCCGACAGGGAACTCTGCAGGTTTTATATTGGCTAGAATAAGATTCCTGCCCTGGTTTTATACATATATAACAAAGAACTTCCTTATTCCTTATATACAAGCAGAGTATTAAGGGAAAGGCCTTGCTAATCACCTTTACAATTTTTTCTGGCTAAAATTCATCTTTTCTTAGAGTCATTTGGAACTTGAAGATAGATTTTTTAAATGTACATTCAAGAGTTCTTTCAAATTAGAGATAGCTTGCAGGGTCCAGATATACAAGTGATCATAAAATTATTTCCAATTCTGTAATACTTCTTCTTCTTTTTTTTTTTTTTTTGCTCATTAGGTGTGGAATTATCTTGTATCATTACGGATTCACAGACAAGTGACCCCAGGATTGAGTGGAAGAAAATTCAAGATGACCAAACCACATATGTGTTTTTTGACAACAGAATTCAGGGTATGATCCTCTAATCCCCTCCTTTGTCCACAAGGCCCAGACATATACTTGTGCCCAGAGACTTTCCTCTGACTGGTCCTGCATCTGTATCCAGGATTGGTTTTTTTGTTTTGTTTTGTTTGTTTCACTTCTGAAAATTTCAAACATGGAAAAGTAATGAGAGTAGTATATTGAACCTCCCTGTCCCTGTTACTCAGCTTCAACAAGTATCACCTCATTAGTTATGATTTAAATCTATCTGTAGCCCATCCTATTGCACAATGAGAGTGAACGCTGTCCTAGGCCATCCTCTTATCATGGTCCCATTCATGATACCAGCTGCATGAGTTAATCAGAAGGATCACAGGGAACAGCAAGGAGATAAGACAGGTATTCGCTGAGCACCTACTGTGTCTCAAGCTTCCTACATTGAGAAAGCATTTGCTAGAACAGATGTCAGCATAAGGTATCTCTGATCACATGAAGTAGGAGCAGGGCAGCTGGTGGGGGAAGCTTCCCAGAAGTGGCATCTAGGCTGAGCTGTGAAGCTGGTTATCCAGGCCAGATGGTGATGGGTGGGGTAGAAGAAGGTGTTGGGCAAGAAAGAATGCTCTGCATATAGACGTGGAAGCAAAAGGCAGGTTGGCTTAAGGAAACTGCAAGTTCTCTATCACAGGTGGGATTTAAGGAAGGGAGAGAGGAGTATCTCCACACAGCTGGTGAGGCATGCCAGGGCCAGGCAGGAAGCACTGAATGCCATGCAAGAATGGACAGCATCTTGAGTTCCGTAAAGATTTTTTTTAGAGGGAAGGGAGATGACTTCATTTTCACTTTAGAAAGACTTGACTCGGCTGCTTTGTAGAGGAGATTGGGAATGGGGAAAACTCAGAGCAGGGGTGCTAATTTAGATTGTTTTGCAGATGCCAGAAAGGAGCTGCTGATGGCCTGAGCTAAGATTGAGGCATTGTAGAGAGCAATGGGGAGGGATTGCTAGGAGCTGGCTGTGGCGAGGGAGGGAGGGAGAGAAATTATAGATGACATGCAGTGGTACCTTACCTTCATTCTGACAGGAGGGATGGGATGAACATGAGGGACAAATGCAATAGCTTCTAAGGGCTGGCTTTGGAGTTCTCAGAGAAACTGATAGTTGAGGCTTCAGAGAAGATGAGAGATGTCGAAACAGCTAAATCTCAGTCTTCCTGCTTTGGGTCCCCAATATCATCAGGCTCTTAAAAATCTTTTGGGGACACCTGGGTGGCTCAATCAGTTAAGCATCTGCCTTCAACTCAGATCTGATCCCAGGGTCCTGGGATTGAGCACTGCTGCTTAGCAGGGAGTCTGCTTTTCCTTCTCCCTCCCCACTCCCCCTGCTTGCGCTCTCTCTCTCACACACACAAACAAATCTTTTTAAATATTTTGTTGTTTTTCTTCCTTCACCACTATATCCCCCACCTTTTAATTTTGAAGAGATGGAAATGTTTTTTCCAGAAAACAAGTCCGGGTTCTCTGGCAGTTTAGGCTGCTGCTGATAAAGCCTGTACGTGCACTTGTGATCATCAGAGAAACTAGGTGGGAATTTTTTTTTTTTTTTAGGTGAGAATTTTCATAAAGAACTTCCTGTTTGTAGGCACCTGGGTAGCTTGGTTGGTTAAATGACTGCCTTTGGCTCAGATCATGATCTGGGAATCCCAGGATCAAGTCCCACATTGGGCTCCCTGTTTAGTGGAGAGTCTCCTTCTCTCTGCCCCTCCCCCCCTCTCATTCTCTCTCTCTCTCATTCTCTTTCTCTCTCAAATAAATAGGATCTTAAAAAAAGATTCTCTTTCTGGGATTTAAACACCTTATTCTTAGCCAGAGGAATGAGGAGGATATTTATACACAGAATATGAAGGCTGCAGGAAAATTTGAATCTTGCTTGGCCTCATCTCTTGCCTCAATTCAGGACTGTGCCAAAAACATCCTGATATATTTTTTTTAATGCCTTTTTTTTTTTTTTAAAGATTTTATTTATTTATTTGACACAGAGAGAGCACAAACAGGGACCAGCAGAGGGAGCTGCAGAGGGAGAGGGAAAAGCAGGCTCCCCACTGAGCAGGGCGCCTCATGTGGGGCTGGATCCCAGGACCCTGGGACCCTGGGATCTTGCCCTAAACTGAAGGCAGACTTTAACTGGCTGAGCCATCCAGGCACCCCAATCCTGATAGATTTTTTTAAAACTTTATTGTTGAAGTATGGGTGATACACAGTGTTCTATTAGGCTCAAGTATATAACATAGTGATTAGACAAATCATACTCAATGCTCACTGCAAGAAGAGTAGTCACCATACAACATTATTACAATATTATTGACTCTATTTCCTCTGTTGTACTTTTTATCTCCATGATTTACTTATTTTATAACTGGAAGTTTGTTTCTCTTAATTTCCTCTTCACCTATTTTGCCCTGCCACCCACCCTCTCCCCTTTGGCAACCACCAGTTTGTTCTCTATATTTAGTAATCTGTCTCTGGCTTTTTTTGTTGTTTGGTTTGTGTTTTAGATCACACATATAAGTGAAATCATATGGTACTTGTCTTTCTGTCTGATCTCTCTTTACTTAGCATATATTCTCTAGGCCTGCTGATGTTGTCACAGATGGATAGATCTCATTCTTTTTATAGTTGAGTAATATTCTCAATTATACACACACATACACATATACCATATCTTTGATAGATTTGCTTCCATGGTAGAAGTCTAATCCTCCATTAACAGCTACTGGATAACAACCTTCTTATTAGAAAATGCCTTTGCAAATGTTCATCTTTTGTCATAAGCATTTTTCTATTTTTATTATATTATGGTAAATCCTTCCTGTTCTTACCACCAGTCATCAGGTTTTAGTAATAATTATTTTCTATTTTTGTGTCCTTTTTTTCCCCTAATTCCTTCCCTTATTTGTCATTCTTTTTTTTTTTTTAAGATTTTATTTATTCATTTGACAGAGAGAGCACAAGCAGGGGGAAGAGCAGGCAGAGGCAGAGGGAGAAGCAGGCTCCCCACTAAGCAGGGAGCCCAATGCGGGACTCAATCCCAGGACCCTGGGATCACGACCTGAGCTGAAGGCAGAAGCTCAACTGACTAAGCCACCCAGGCGCTCCTTTATTTGACATTCTTTAGGTTCTTCATGCTTCTTTGAAAGAGTTACCATCTTTTTATGCTTTAAAAGTTTTAAACATTGAGATATAGTTCATATAGCATAAAACTCACATTTTTTAAAGTGTATACTTCAGCAGTTGTTAGTATATTCAACAAAGATGTGCAACCCTCACTGCTATCAAATTCTGGAACACTTTTATCAACCCCAAAAGAAACTGCATATCCTTCGGCAGTGACTTACCTTCCACCGTGTCCCCACCTCCAGGCAACCACTAATCTACTTTGTCTCTATGTATTTGCCTATTCTGGACGCTTCATATAAATAGGATCATACAATACGTGGTCCTTGGTGACTAACCTCTTCCATTTAGCATATTATTTTCAAGGTTCATCCACGGTGTAGCATGTATTAGTACTTCATCCCATTTTATATGGTTGCATAATATTTCATTGTACGTAGGCCACTTTTTTTTAATCCATTTATCAGTTGATGTACACTTGGGTTATTTCCAGTTTTTGGGTGTTATCAATAATGTAGCTATGTATATTCATGTAAGCATAATGTTTTTTGTGTAAACAAGTTTTCATTATGGGATGGATAAATGACCAAAAGTATAATTGCTAGGTAATATGGTAGTTATATATAAACTATATTAGAACCTGTCAAACTATATTCCCAAGTGGCTGCACCATTTTATATTCTTTCAGCAGTGTTTTTCCCTATATCCTCACTAACATTTGTAATTGTCCATCCTTTTTTTTTTAAGATTTTATTTATTTATTTGAGAGAGAGAATGAGAGAGAGAGAGAGAGAGCATGAGAGTGGGGAGGGTCAGAGGGAAAAGCAGACTCACCGCTGAGCAGGGAGCCTGACTTGGGACTCAGGATCATGACCTAAGCTGAAGGTAGACGCTTAACCAACTGAGCCACCCAGGTGCCCCTGTAATTGCCCACCTTTTCAATCTGGCCGTCCTAGTGGTTATGAAGTGATACTTCATTGTGGTTTTGATTTGCATTTCCCTGGTGACTAATGATGCTGAGCATATTTTCATGTTCTTGGGGGCCATTTAATATACTTTCTTTGGAGAAATGTCCACTCAAATCCTTTGTCTATTTTTAATTAGGTTATTTGTCCATTTATTGTTGAGTTGCAAATTCCTTATATATTTGGACACTAGTTCTTTTTCCCAGATACATGATTTGCAGATACTTTCTCCCATTTAGTGGATTGTCTTTTCAAAACTTGAATGTGTTCTTTGAAGCAAAGAAGTTTTAAAATTTTTTATGAAAGTCCAGTGTGAGCCATTTTTTTTTTAATTTTATTTTTTATAAACATATATTTTTATCCCCAGGGGTACAGGTCTGTGAATCGCCAGGTTTACACACTTCACAGCACTCACCATAGCACATACCCTCCCCAATGTCCATAATCCCACCCCCCAAACCCCCCTCCCCCCATTAACCCTCAGTTTGTTTTGTGAGATTAAGAGTCACTTATGGTTTGTCTCCCTCCCAATCCCATCTTGTTTCATTTACTCTTCTCCTACCCCCTTAACCCACCATGTTGCATCTCCTCTCCCTCATATCAGGGAGATCATATGATAGTTTTCTTTCTCCGATTGACTTATTTCGCTAAGCATGATACCCTCTAGTTCCATCCACGTCGTCGCAAAAGGCAAGATTTCATTTCTTTTGATGGCTGCATAGTATTCCATTGTGTATATATACCACATCTTCTTTATCCATTCGTCTGTTGATGGACATCTAGGTTCTTTCCATAGTTTGGCTATTGTAGACATTGCTGCTATAAACATTCGGGTGCACGTGCCCCTTCGGATCACTACATTTGTATCTTTAGGGTAAATACCCAGCAGTGCAATTG